CTAACACTGTTCCTTTCAGGTTGGGTGGCAATTAAGTTGTTTTTCCTGTTTTGTTTTGATACCAAGATCACTGTTTCTTCCCCCCGGGGGTTTCTGTTAATACCACCTTGTTTCTAAATATCAGGTACAGCATGAAAACAATCTTTGGAATCATTTTACAAGGAAGAGGTGACAGAGTAAAGGAAGTGCCTGTGCAGCCTGCCGTCTCTAGACAAATGGAAAAGTGAAGCACCTGAGGACCTCTTGAAAGCCGAGTCGCTACTAAAGCACTCTCTTCTCTGCTTTCTTCTTTCCTTAGTCCTTCTCCTCCAAAAAGAAAAATAACACTTCTAGATTTTCAGAAAAGAAAGAACTCCTTAATTTTACTAGTATTTTAATATTAGTGGATAACTTCACATCAAAAATATTGATTTGAATTTATAATTTTTCAAAAAGAGCAATCTACTTTACCATCACCCAAACTACCCATAGCTAGATGCTCATTAGGGATTCAGGAAGAACACACAGGTGAAATATGCTGTCCACAAGGATGGGAACAAGGAGTGCTTTAATATTATTTTTGTCTTTTGAAACTTATATTCCATCTAAAAGTCTCTCAAGTACTTAACTCTACCTGCAATTTTACATCTCTTTACAACCTAGTTTTTACTAACAAATAGCTTGCACGAACACCCACCACATAAAGAGGGAAGAGCTCCTTATGGGGCCAAGCACTGATCTGATCCATAGCTACTAAGGAAACAGGCCTTCTATTATGGCGCTGCTCTGGTGTCGTGAACTTGACCACAGTTCTCAAGTCCTCCCTTCTTTGTAGTTTATTTTGATCCAAATAGCCAAATCTATACTTAAACTTCACTACGGTTAACAATCTGATATTTCAGACCAACCAGTAGGACTGTTTCTAAGGCAAAGCAATAATAATTGTTCAAGGAGGTAGATATGCCATTTTCTTTTTTTTCTTTTTTTTGATTTTTCTATTGGATGTTTTATTTACATTTCATATGTTGTCCCCTTACCCCATCCCCCACCCACCCAGGAACCCCCTATCCCCTCACCCCTCCTCCTTCTTCTCTGTGGATGTAACCTCTATCTATCCCCCCCTACTCCCACCTCCTCACCCTCAAAATTCCCACCCCCTGGGGCATCCAGCCTTCATGAGGTCAAGGTTCTCTTCTTCCACCTGTGCCCAGCAGGGCCCTCCACTCTTACATATTCAGCTAAAGCCCTGGATCCCTCCCTAAGTGCTCCCAGGCTGGTGGTTTAGACCCTGGGAGCTCTGGTTGGTTAGTATTGTTGCTCTCCTCATGGGGCCACAAACCCTTTCAGCTCCTTCAGTTTTCACTCTAACTCCTCCATTGAGAACCCCATGATCAGTTCAATGGCTAGTTGTGAGCATCTGCCTCTGAGTATGTCAGACTCTTGAAGACCTCTGAGGAGACATCCATATCAGGCTCTTATCAGCATGCACTTCCTGACTTTCACTTTCTTTAATCTGAACATTCTACATTGTACCCAAGTACTGAAATGCTACACCACAGCCTATAAATATGTCAGTCAAAATCAAAAATCTATTTTTAATGCTTACCTAAACATTCCTGTTGTCTTTATACTTTGACCTTTACAAATTTTTGCAAAAATAATTTGCTCTCCGTGTTTTAACAAGTTAAGGATTATCATAGTCCTTTTATCTATTTTATCAAGTCGTTAATCTTAAAACTTGGGGGGAGAATTCCTTGCTCCTCCTATTTTGAGTTGGCCAAAAAATTGTATACGTATCCACCCTACACAATGGCTCACTTTGCTTTATTTTATAGCTATAGTCACCACTGACAATTTGCAATTCTGGCCTAAAGCACTCAACTAAATAAGGAGGAAAAACCAGAGAGTAAACCAGCAGCAGAGAGGCCACCATGGCCAGTCAGAACGTGGATGGTGGCACTGTCCCCTAGAAACTGCAGATAAGGACTTCAGAGTTTGATTATAAAATCTTGAGCTTTAAAATCTCTGTGCAGATATGGCATTCCCCTTGCTCATTGGGTCTGCATTACCGAAAAGTTGTCTGGTAGATAGATTCCTAGCCGCCTGGGCTTTCAAGTCACAAGCTACCCATGGACAAAAACAAATGTTTGATATGCTCCCTCTCCCTCTCTCCTTCACTCCCTCCCTCCCTCTCCTGTGCCCCCCTCTCTCTCCCTCTCTCTCATGTGTATATCTGTGTCTTTGTATGTACATGTGTCTCAGTGTCTATGTGTGACTGTGTGTCTCTGTCTGTGGGTGTGCGTGGTTTTGGTTTTCTCTCCATCTCTGTCATTCTGTGTGAATTGTGCACTTTTTTCGCCTCCCGTGTCCACCTCTATGTCTGGGTGGATGTCTGTCCACTGTTCGTCCGTAGCCTTTCATGTCATCTCTGCCTCTTCCTGCACACATGTTTATTTGACTCGGCTCAAGATCTAATCCTTTCAGAAGAAAATGATATTGTAGGAGTAAGGGAGCTCATCAATATAAATGCAGCCTCTGTTTCTTGAGTTCTTAAATCAACCGGGAAGGCTGCTTCCTTGACTTCTTCAACTAAAGTCCTGCCAGCAGTGCCTTTCCAATGGTATGAAGTTGGTGAATGATTAAATCTTCAGTGTGACAAACCTGATCTATCTATGAGAATCTTGGAGGGAACTTTATCTGTTACTCTTAATTAAACAACCTCTTAGGGTGAATTTTTTCAATTTCTCTGCCAAATCAGGTAGAAATGACAGCTGGAAGGCCCTCCCCCATAAATGGCTAGACAATCACAGACCACAATTCTCAATCCAGGTACTTGCTGAGACCTTTCAGTGCTTACTACATATAGACAGACATGCATAGTTCCCAAATCTCGAACACATTCCCAAAAAAATCCCAATGTTTTTGTCCGACAACTAAAGTTGGGCATAGACAATGAAAGGTGGACTTCCTAAGTGTCAAAGCAGGTAAATCTCATCATCCTTGCTGTTAACGAGGGAAAGAAGCACTAAGTTAATGAAACCATTCTAATCTCAGAGTGGAAATAAGATAAAATATTTTATGTTCGGCGGTTGACAAAAGGTGGAGACAAGGGGAGGAGACAGATCTGATGCACATGACGTAAATCTGCATTTCAAGACACATTTGACAGAAACGTATTCTATGACCATCTCAGCTTGGGTCCAATCTGAGAAAGTTGTGACCGATACTGCTACAATGATTAAACTTCAATCCAGGACCTCTCAGCATCTCCCTTTTCACCCTGGAGAGTGGCAGGGAGCCTATGGGTCTGGTTTTCTAAGGGCTTCCTCGAAAACTCCTCTCAAAAACCAAACTATGAAGTAGAATAAATCAAGAAGATGAGAAGTTTGGAAAAAATCACCATGACCCTGTAAATAGCTGATTCCAGTAACCTTTAAATTCCACCCAGGAATTGATAGTCTTAACAGTAATGTTCCCTGTATCCTAGATCTGTATAAGATATTCATAAAAGAAGCCAGTTGGTTAATATAGATGTTTCATGCCATTATGTGCCTCTATTTTAATTTATATTGTTATAAAAACTGAAAGTGCATATGAACCTCACACTAGCGTAGCTAAAAATACTACAGGATTAAAATGACTGTGCAGTACTATAAGCTATTTTTTTTAATCCAAATGTGTCACTGCTGCTCTAGACTTACACAGAATCACACACTGACTATCATGGAAGAAAGACTCACAAGGCTCCTAACCAAACTCCAAGGTGAACATCTAAAGAAGACACCTAATATTATTGCAATTCCAAGGATGCAATTTCAAGCCTAGTTTCCAAAGAGATGCTAATCCAAGGAGTGGTGTTGTCTAAGCTACCAATCTGTGTCCTGTTGTTTGCTATCATTTTTGTGTGCCTCTCTAACACACGGCCACATAAAGATCTTAGCCACATATCCATACAAGTGACCCTCACTGTACCTGCTGTGTAAGGCCTCCAAATACACCATGAGCGATTGACAGAACAAATAATCACAGAACCTCGCAGAATCTTCCCACTGTTTTCCTACTCAAATCCATGTGCAGAATTATCTTTCTCATGGTTCTCCAGAAAGGGGCTCTGAAGAGAAACCCTTAAATGATAGTCCATATAGTTTGATTATAAAGTTGAAAAATTATAGAAAAGAGGTTTTTTTAAAAACAACTAAAAATGCATAAACCCAGTAGATCAAATTTTTATAATCTGACCACACATAAATGGATGGCATTTTAAAGACACTTCAGAGGCAGGATGCCTTAATGTTCGAGAGCAAGACAAAGTGATATTGTTCAAATCTGTTTCCCAAGTGCTCTGAAAGCACAGAAACTATGGCTTTGTTTCTGTCCTTCTCCTGATCAAGTGCAGTAGGCAAGATGTAACCTATAAACCAACACGCAATGAAGAAAGCAAATAAAACGTGAAACTTTAAACACAAATTTGATCCGAGTAACTGCCTTCCCGTTTTCCAAGCACTGACTGACTATCTAGGGTTCAATTCCGACTACTCGCCCTAAGGCAGGGTACTTTCAGATGTGCACAGTGGGTCCAAAAGCCATCCTAGTGACTTAAATTTGATGAAGTGGCCACTTTTCCAATCATTCCCAACTTAAAAGGAAAGCTTCCTCCAAAAACTGGCTCTAAGAATTTGGTCAGCGCTTGTAGCCTGTTTATGAAGCGATGGGACAAGGAGAGATTCATCATCAAAGTGAAATTCAAACCTATTCTGTTGGACCTCTGCTCTACCCACCCCCCTTTCCTAGCTCCTACTATAAGGTCTGGACAGGTGGGAGGTGGTACATCTCTCTTAGGAAACAGATGAAACTTACATCCCTCCACCACCTCCTTCATGGCCCCCACCCACCCTAAGCCACCAGGTACTACTGCCTACACCCCCTCCCCCCTTAGGAGAGGGATGGGATGGGATGGGCAGGACGGGGGCGCCGTGGGCGGGATGAAGGTGGGGAATGTTCTGAACTGCAACTCTCCTTACCACTGGAGCGCCTGACGATGTTCTCCAAAAATGTGTTCTGCGGAGCCACCAGCCCTCTCTTGCCCCCCGGCATCCTGGGTCTGGAAAGCAGCGGCCAGGATCCGCGGCGGGGGAGGGGGGGAAGCAGGAAGAAAAGGTGGAAGAAGAGGAGGAAAAGGTAGTGGAGATGGAGCCGAAAGAAAAGGGGGCGCGGCGGCGGCGGCGGGGTCCCCTGAGTGTGTCTCCAGCCCGACCCGGATGAGCAGCTCTGGGAAGGAGGACCAAGCAGTTCATGGTAGTAGCGCTCCCCCGGCCGCCGCTGCCCAGACTGTGGCGGTGCCGCACACGGGGCTGGGGAACTGCAGGCTCCGCCGGGCACAGTGCGCCTGCGCCGCCCCCGCTGTCGCTGTCCCGCCGGTGCTGATGCTGAGGCTGCTGCTGAAGATGCTGCCGGGGAGGCAGGAACCCGGACGCGGGCTCAGCATTTCTCCCTCTGCCCCGCGCCCGGGCTCTGGGAGAGAGCGAGAAACAACTCGACTTCTCTCTCCCCAACCCTAGCGCAGGCTAAGACCCCATTCCTTAGCTCTCGGCTCCCTCGGTCTCCTAGCCCACCCTTCTCACGCAGCTACTTCACAGCTGCCAGGGCAAGCCAAACTTCTGCCCAGGCTTTGCGAGCGCCCAGTGGTTGCTCTTTTCTCCACGAAGATCCAGACAAGTGCTCGCTGGCTGGTGCGGACTGTTGTTCGCAGAGGCAGGCACCAGAGAGGGCAATGGCAATATCAGGAGAAGGGGGTCACATCTCAGCTTCTCTCGCTGCCACCGTCCCAAACCGCAGCACCTCCGGCGGACTCGGGTCTTGGGGCCGAGGTGCAAGAAGGCTCCTGCTCTAGCCCAGGCTATGCGCCGAGTAGGAAGTGACTGGGTGGCGCTCAGGGACCGGGAGCAGCCACCTGACGCTGCTACCGCCCCCCTCAGGGCTCTGGCGCCTGAAGCCTCGACATGAGCTTTCGACACCCTGAGAAACCTCACTATCTGGAGCAGAAGCCAAATGGAATATGAGAGCAGAGCTGGCACCCGGAATGGCCCTGCGCCCCAGGCTGGATTTGGCGCGCAGGGTGCTGGGGAGGGAGGTTGGCTTCTACACAACCTCTGGAGAGCTGCTCCAGGGCTGCTAAGTACAGTAGAACAGGAAGCCTGATCCCCCTACCCAAACTTGAAAAAAAAAAAGAGTTCACTTGATGACGGGAGTCCTAGAGCGAAAGCAACCGTCACGCTTTTGCGTGGGAAAGTGGTACAAGCTGAGAGAAGGAAGCTGCGTGAGGCTGGGGAGAGGCCGCCCTCCTATATGTTCAGGACCCTGACTGGAGTGGGACTGTTAAAAGCGGTCCAAAAGCAGGGGGCAGTCACACAAAAGAGAAAATTTCACAAGTAAGAAAGGGACTGGAAGACATGAAAAGAAAGGGGGAGCCCAAGGAGCGCAGCAGCCCCTCCTTTCATGGAAGGCATTGTCTTCGCCTCCAGGCTACAGCATCAGCATCCCCCCCCAGGACTCTTGAGGAGCAAATTTGGGGGCCTTATCTCTAAGTGGGGGTGCTAAGGACTCTGAGGATGGCGTCTGACAGTCTGTTGGTAATAAGCCTTCTGTCTAAATATGATGCACAAGCCACAAGCTTAGGGCAAACCTAAACTTCCCTTTAGGAGACCCCACCTTGGTCTGTGGAGACAAGAACCCTCTGGGAACAGAAAAGGCCATGAAACACGGGGCGGTGAGGGGAGTAAAAAGAAAAGGTTAGTTGAACTTGGTTGCTGGGGTCAGGCTATGCCTAGCGAGGTAATCTTTGTGGAAATGATGCCTGTCAAGACTCCTAAAGCAGAAGGGATGCTCAGAGCAAGAGCAGCAATATCTACCTGCTACCTAGGGGCCCATGACTTTAAAATACTCCTCCGTTGTGTTCCCATTCACTGGCCTTTAAAGCTCTCTCTCTCTCTCTCTCTCTCTCTCTCTCTCTCTCTCTCTCTCTCTCTTTCTGTGTGTGTCTGTCTGTCTGTCTGTCTGTGTCTGTCTGTCTCTGTCTGTCACTCTATCTGTCCCTCTATCTATCTATCTCTGTCTCTGGCAGAAAGTTAAATGTAAAGCCAGGATCCAGGTTTCACCCTAGAGTAATTTTTCTCTCCTCTAAAATTTCCACTGCCCACCCAGAGCCAGGGACACTGCAGAAATCTAAAAGGTGAACATGTAGCAAAAAGTTAGTTGGGTCTGTGGAGATTCCTTCTGGGGGGGGAATGAAGACACTGTAGACTAATGCTGCTTTATTCCAGCCTTCCATCTAAAGCAGTTTATCCTCTTACAGATAAAATGCCTCAACACATCCGGGTGCCCTCAGTTAAACAACAAGGAACTTTAGCACAGATTGAATCTATGCACAGAGCTTGCCACAGGCTGTAGTCAGTAATGCGTCCGAGGATATACATCCTTTGGGTTGGGCAACAGGAATAACAAGGACTTGACACCAGACCCAGCACTTACCATCCCAATTTTAAACACAAACTTCACTTTCCCCTGCCCCCACCCCACCCTCTGCTATGTCTTCTGTGACCTGTGCTCAAAGGATCCCAGATCATTCAGCTGTCGGCTGGAGTGGTGACTATACAGACCTAATGCTTGAAAATACGTACATCTGGATTGCAAGGTTTCAATCCTTGACTTGTAGCATGACACGGCAATTCTACCATCAACGTTGACAGGGAATATGTCCAGCCTATATGTTCTTTCGCACATCCTCAGTTGCCCACATTCGACTCTGGGTATTGATTTGAAGTCTCAGCTTTCCAGTGTTTCCTATCTAATATAAATATCTCTGTTCCTAATCATTTCTCTGTGGGTGTATTAGTTCACACTTCCCAAAGAGGAAACTCTTTTGGACTCCATTAAGACAAAGTCACACAATCACTGTAGAATGCCCCCCATTTATTTCCATCCACAGCTTTAATGAAAATGGCATGCTTCTTTTCTTCCTTATCCTTAATTTCTGGATAGCATTACTCTGTTGGCTTATCTTAATGACTGTATGGAACTTTGACAAAATGTCAGAGCATTTGGTTATACTTCCCTTATCTTCCAGTTTAGATTTTCATCAGGCAAAAACTGATACCTAGAAAGATGAAGTGACCTAATCAAGAGGACACGGTGCTTTAGAGCACTTGGGGGAGAAACTATAATAGGATCTCCCACCCATAACCAGGGCTCCTTATAAATAACAATCTGAGCTTGGATTTGTGTGGCAACAACCAACAGCATCCCGTCATCTTTATGGCCCTCACTCACAGCTATGGGAAAGAGGAACTCCTAGCAACAACTTGCAACAGCTCCCAATCAAATCACAGTGGAAGAAAGCCAAGCAGAGAAAGGGGCTGTGGAGGCAGTGGCAGCGGCAGCAGCAGCAGCAGCAGCAGCAGCAGCAGCAGCAGCAGCAGCAGCAGCAGATGGACTGCCTGGCCCTAAGGAGTGTCCCGGCAGACTGCAGCAAGCTGCCAATACAGCACTTTCAAAGGGTTTTGCAGACAGAGTCCATATGTTGTGACCAAACCACAGGAATGAACAGGTGAGAAAGTTGGGATTTTTAAAGACTGCAATGTCACACAAAGGGTTTCTCTTTGTTTATTTTATAACCAAAATTTCACTTCAGAGCATAACCTCTTGTACTTAGTCTCCTGTGTCTTGCCATATGGTGATTAGAAAGGTGTTGTCTGTGAGAAACAAGAGTTCCAACCCCTACACGCTCTGCTGTTTCTGGGGTCAACTGTAGGCGTGTTCCAGTTTAATAGGAAACAATGTAACAGGAGAGGCTTAGAAATTAATTTATTAGCTAGTGATGATTTAGAGTCACTCCTAGTCCCCTAAAGAATTCTTACTATAAAGGAATTCTTTTCTAACGTAGCATATGTGATGGTATCAGTAATTACATTTCAGTTTTCTAGAAGTCATATTGCTAGAGTCCTTGTGTACAAATGGCCCAAACACCACTCCCTACAGAAATGATGCTTTTCTTCATTTTGACTGTCTTCTGGACTAGCCCATTATGAAAAGAGAGAGAGAGAGAGAGAGAGAGAGAGAGAGAGAGAGAGAGCACTAAAAGACTTATTTAACAAGATTTTTGTGAGGATAAAATGTGCTCTAAGTTGATGCTATTAAAACATATGATATGTGTATTACCTATTTTCATCATTGATGTGACAAAATGCCCTGACAAAAACAACTTAAGGGAGAATGAGTTTATTTTGGCTCGCAGTCTGCCATGGAGGAAAGTCGTGGTATCAGGAGCTTGAAGTGGCTGCTTACACTGCATTCACCACCAAGAGGCAGAGGGTTTGGATCAGCTTGCTTTCTCTTTTTATTCAGTCTAGGACCCCAGCCCATGGAAAGGTGCTGCTCACATCTTGAAACATCTTTCCCACCTAAGTTAACCAAATGTAGATAAGCAGGTAAAAAGCACTGCGTGTGTGTGAGAGTAAAGATGCCAGCCTTCCATTTTCCTTTGCATTAGAAGCTCTGGGTGGTGATCGCTCCGGCTTTTGCGGACAATGTGCTGCCTTTTCTTCCTCCTTGAAATTGGTGTAGTCAGGCCAATAGAGCTGATCACTGAAATATAAGGAAGGTATATTTGGGTATGGCTTCTGGGTAAGAGCAAATAAGAACCAGGACTCCATTTCCCATGTTCCTCCTCTGATGCCTCTGTGACTGAAGAACTCAGGAAATGCAACAACTGTCCAAGCACAGAGCCTACATCTGCAGCCTTACATAAACAGGAAATAAATAAGGCACTGGGATTCTACAGTCTGTGACTGTCTTCTGCTGGCAAACATTCTGGATTTGCTTTAGGAGTGGAAAAAGAAAAGGAGAACAATACTTTTCAACCTTGTCTACATTTAAAGATCACCTGAGTAGTTCATAAAAATATCCGAAAGTTTAGGCCATGGCATAGACCAGGTAAGTTCTAATTCCTGATGGTGAGACACAGACATAAATTCCTTTATAATCTTCCCTAGGTGATTCCAATGTACATCAAGGTTGAGGATGCCTACCTAAGGTGATGCTTCACTCTGTGAGGACCCCTAGGATCTGAACAATGTGACAAGATCTTCTTCAGCTCCTAAGGATCTGGTCTTTGGTTGCACCAGCTGAACAAGCTCAACACTGAGTCTTCCCATACTCACAGCTACAGAGCACCTCAGTGGAGACCCACATGTCCTTCCAGACTCATGCACTGAAAACTCAAAGCCTCCTAACTCAACCCTATCGATCCAGTCCAATCTGCCTGCCCGTCTCTAGTTGCCAGTGCCTTCAGCACTCTACAATGGCTTTCTCCACCCTTTCCCTCACTCATCACACTGAGGTCCTCGACATTTACTGTTTTCCCCCCTTAGCTTTCTGTGTCATTAGCTTTCTCTCTTTCCCAAACCTTGCTAGCTGATCACTCTCAAAAGAGTAGGCAGTAGAAAGTACACTATTTCTTGTGTCCTGGTCCCTCTTAACCCACCCATAAGCTGACCCCTACTGTACCATCCCTTGAAATGTCTCCACCCCATGGCTAATTGCTTTATATGTCAAACCCAGTGAGGAGATTTCCACACTTATTACTTTATTTGCCTCTGGCAGTTGGCCTTTTTACCACTCCTCTCCTTCAGAAGTATTCTCCCCATTTTATCTGACCAGTTTTAAATATTGTGTGACTCTAATATTTTATCAAACCTACCTGTATCAGAATCTCCCTGCCTGTAAACTGGGAATAATGCCTACATTCTATGTTAATATAATATTTATACACAACAATTGTTTGTCTGGAGAATGATAAGGGATAAAGTATCAGATAGTTAACATCACCAAACTGGGTACTTAGT